TACCTGTATGCCATGGGAAATAATAAATATAATTTCTAAATATAACAAAATACAAACCCCACACAGCCACTTAACTTTGAAGAAAGTGAAATTAGGTAATTTATGGAAAAAATATCAGATGACTGCTTATTAAGGTTAGTATAAAAAAATAAAGAATTACTGTTAAAAATAAAAAGTTTATGGCCATGCTTACTAGGAACATATAGTCATTTGTGCTCCCATAAGGAGGCAATAACAAGGCAATAAAAATGTTGACTACAGAACCAAAGAAACTGCCAAATTAATCACAAAACAGTGTATTTGCGTTATAGAATTACAGATACTAAGAGTCTTTTACATATATAGGAACTAATTACACATTGAAAATTAATAATTGGGTTCTTTAAATTGTTCCAAAAGTGTTGACAAAACTGTATTATTTCATGCCCTACACTATGACCTTCTTAAACAATGTGATGAGACATTGTACAGGCTGTCTTCTTTATAATCTGAGTAAAGTTCTATGTGTGAGCTGACTTACAGCTGAGTGAACATGCCAGTAGAGATCATGGTAAAAAAAAAAAAAATGAAAATTTCAAAGAAGATAGATCAGCATGAATGAAGCCCAGACTGGGAAAGGTCAGGCTTGGACAGGTGAAGTTAAGATGCCTCCCAGAAGATTCACTTGATATAAGGACTGGTATGGTATCCCAGGGAAGCACAGATTCTAAGAGTTTATCTTACAGGTAACAAGATCCTCAGAGATGTAGAACATATGGGCATGCTTACAAGGATGTCAAAATCATCACTCCTGCAGTGTTAGAGAAAACATATTACAACGGTAGAAATGGGACGCTGCCATCAGTTTCTCTGGTCTTTCAGTCAGAAGGGATAAGCCAATGAACCACTGAAGGAGTTACTTTTAGGGAGGTTCATCAGCTAAGTTCAACTCAAACAACTGGAAACAGTCAAGTGTAACCCCAGAGTGTCATACCTAGCTGAAAGTTTAAAGTCAGGAAACTGTTTATGAATACTTAGGAAACATCTGTTTATAAACAGATGATCTATCAGGCAGACTCAGTTTGATTTAAAAAAAATAAACATTATGTAGGTTGGAATGAGGAAAAGGTTTGTTGTTCTTGAAGAGGATAGATTTTAGTTCCTAGCATTCTGGCTTGGCATCTCACAACTGCCTGCAGTTTCAGAGGAATCTATGCCCTCTTATGTTCTCTGTATATGTAAGCACACACGTACACACATGAGACAGAAATAAGAGTCCTACAATGTACATATAAATAAAAAGATATAGATCATATAAGATAAATTTTAGAAAATAAAACAAAGAGTCCTAGAGGAAATATAAAAATAATGAAATAGAAGACTTAATGTCTTTGGTTAAGAATATAAAGATTTCCTGATGTTTGAAAAATACCTAGTCTAGCACATTGATTGTTTAGGAATTCAGAATGAAATTTTTGTTAAGTATAGAAGTCAAAATCTCACCCACCAGCAAAGAAATTCTAGTAGACAAATATCGGTGTTTCAGGATCAACTTGGTGATGCTGATGAAATGGCTACTAATAAAATTAATGTTCAGCGGCTCTTTAAATTCTAGATACTCAACACAAGTTCCAAGATATTTTGACTTCATCACGATATGGAAGTCTAAATGCAACTAAAATATTTCCTGAGAATAATCACTGCAAGGAAGGGAACAAAGACTGTGACTTATGGATCACAAGCATCTTCACTCTCTAGGTTTGATGGTAATTGATGTCTTCTTCCTAGGAAACAAATGAGTGGGGACAATTAAACTTAGAAGCACTCGGATCATTAAGTGTAAGTCAGAGTTCCTCCTACTATTATGTAATTATATATTTGTTTCATAAGTAGTGACTGAGTATAAAAACAAAAAGACAATAAAATGGTGCAGAGAATGTGATCAGATAGTGATATGAACAAGGAAAGAAGACCCATCATGATCATTTTCAAAGCTCAATCAATTTGCTAATTAGATACTTTGACTACTAAATAACAAAATAAACAAAATGCATTACAACTTTTAAATAGCCATTCAACACCGATTATGTAAACCCTGGACTTTTGTGATGCTATGATAGTCTGATTCTCTGAACAAAGGCAGTAATTTCTTCTTCATAAACAGCATCAAACAATAATAGAGTTCCTTTAAGAATGGCAATTGGGATTCAGAGTTGAAGAAAAGAGAATGCCAAAGTTATTAAATAACAGATCTACATCTGTTGGGGAAAATGAAGGAAGAGTTTAGACATGTGGTCAAATGAAAGATTTCCCAGAAGGGCTGAGAGAAGACAGACTAAGCTGCAAAATCAAGCTGACAATAAAAGGTTTAGAGAATAGAAAACATCTCTTAAGAAAGTCTTTATTTCAAAGTAAAGAATAAAATTTCCATTTCTCAAAATCTTCATTAACAATGGAATTACAGCTGAATTTACCTTTTTAGGTAAAGTATATGTGTTTCAGATCTTTAAAAAGTTTAGTTATTTATTTAGTTATTTTTTTTTATTATTTTTTTCTTGATACAAGAGTGCCAAGTTTATTTATTTATTTATTTTTTATTGCGAAAAGAAGAAAAAAAACATAAACAAAAAACAAGTTTCCACCTCCTCCCAGCCTCCCATTTCCCTTCCCCTCCTCCCACCCTTCTCCCCCTCCTCCCACCCTTCTCCCCCTCCTCCCACCCTTCTCCCCCTCCCCCCACTCCTCTCCCCCTCCGTCTCCAGTCCCCAGAGCAGTCCGGGTTCCCTGCCCTGTGTTAAGTCCTAGGTCCTCTCCGTCCATATCTAGGAAGGTGAACATCCAAACTGGCTAGGCTCCCACAAAGCCAGCACATTAAGTAGGATCAAAACCCCCTGCCATTGTCCTTGTTGTCTCATCAGCCCTCATTGTTCGCCATGTTCAGAGAGTCCGGTTTTATCCCATGCTTTTTCGGTCACAGTCCAGCTGGCCTTGGTGAGCTCCCCGTAGATCAGCTCCTCTGTCTCAGTGGGTGGATGCACGCCTCGTGGTCCCGAATTCTTTGCTCATGATCTCCCTCCTTCTGCTCCTCATTGGGACCTTGGGAGCTCAGTCCAGTGCTCCTGTGTGGGTCACTGTCTCGATCTCTATCCATCACCAGATGAAGATTCTATGATGATATGCAAGATATTCGTCAGTATTGCTCTAGGATAGGGTCATTTCAGGTTCCCAATCCTCAGCTGCCCAAGGAACTAACTGGGAACCTCATCTTGGGCACTAGGGAGCCCCTCTAGGGTCAAGTCGCTTGCCCACCCTAAAGTGGCCCCCTTAACTAAGAATTGTGGTTCCGTGCTCCCCTATCCACCTTTCCTTTATCCCAATTCTCCCGTTTCCCAGGTCCCCCCTCCTTCCCTTCTACCTTTGCTCTCCCCATCTCCCCTTACCCCCATCCCACCCCCCCCCAAGATCCCATTTTCTCCCCGGAAATTTGGTCTACTTCCCTTAGCGAAGAGGACAACTATATGTTTTTCCTTCGGTTCACCTTCTTCCTTAGCTTCTTTAGGTTCACCTATTGTAGACTCCGTGGTCCTTATTTATGGCTAGAAACCAATTATGAGTGAGTACATCCCATATTCATCTTTTCGGTCTGGGACACCTCACTCAGGATAGTGTTTTCTATTTCCATCCATTTGCATGCAAAATTCAAGAAGTCATTGTTTTTTACCGCAGCGTAGTACTCTAGCGTGTATATATTCCATACTTTCTTCATCCATTCTTCCATTGAAGGGCATCTAGGTTGTTTCCAGGTTCTGGCTATTACAAATAATACTGCTATGAACATAGTTGAACAAATGCTTTTGTCATTTGATAGAGCATCTCTTGGGTATATTCCCAAGAGTGGTATTGCTGGGTCCAGGGGTAAGTTGATCCCGAATTTCCTGAGAAACCGAAACACTGACTTCCACAGTGGTTGCACAAGATTGCATTCCCACCAGCAATGGATGAGGGTACCCGTTCTTCCACAGCCTCTCCAGCAAAGGTTATCCTTGGTGTTTTTGAGTTTAGCCATTCTGACAGGTGTAAGATGATATCTCAAAGTTGTTTTGATTTGCATTTCCCTGATTGCTAAGGAAGTTGAGCAGGACCTTAAGTGTCTTTTGGCCATTTGAACTTCTTCTGTTGAGAATTCTCTGTTCAGTTCAGTGCCCCATTTTTTAATTGGGTTAATTAGCATTTTAAAGTCTAGTTTCTTGAGTTCTCTATATATTTTGGAGATCAGACCTTTGTCTGTTGCGGGGTTGGTGAAGGTCTTCTCCCAGTCAGGAGGTTATGTGTGTGTAGTGTGAAGTTGGGCCATATGTGCCACTGTGTGAATTTTAGGGTTGACATCAAGTCATCTGGTTAATGTTACAAACATATATACATCCTCAGCCATCTTGCAATGATCAAGATCCCAAAGCACATAGTTGATACACAGTGATTTTTCAACGAACATGGAAAAATATCTATGTCCCCTCACTTCACAGATTGTTGCCATTTTACAAATACTTCCTTGGTTCTTTGCATTTTTTTGCAAATAAAAATTGTGAAATTTGTTCATTATAATGTCACTGGAGTAGGGTATAAAACGTATAATTAAGATATACACTTTAAAGAAGATGGCCGATAGCACAATGTCAACCAAACTGCAAGTCTCTCCCCATAAATACTGCCACATCACAAAAAAAATTTATAAAAAGGAGCATCTAAAAGATGACCCAAAGCTGTGAGAATAAGGGGAAAACCAGGATTCTTTTAGAGCATTGGGTAATGGATGGCAAAGCTTCTAAATCTCTGGGTAATTTCCTCATTTGGAATATCTGAATTTCTAATAAACTATTTCTGCTTCTACAAGGATCTACATGTTCCTAGCCCAACTCCTTTTACTGGAACAAGAGAAGCTGGAGAGTTCTTCAAATCCAACAACCATCATGACAATCATCAGTTATTCATTATTGTGGACAGTATCTCATCCAACATTAAAAGAAGGAGAAGCAGTGGATGTGAACTTCCTGTAAGACTAAAATTCAGGAGTCAGAGGTAAGAGAGTAAAAAGAACAAAACTAAACTTGATAGCCATGAGCAACTGTTGGTTAATAAACTTACAAAAAGATGAGTGTGGAAATTGGCAAGAAGGAAAACATAGGTGAGGCAACAGATTCTGTGAACCTCCAGTGCCCATGGAAGTATTTTTGCCAGTAGCAAATACATAGAAACACAAGGGATCAGAAGACCATATTTCTAAAAGTATTGCTGGAGAACCAAGCTAAATGTTGGCAGGTACCTTATTCTATTCATTTATTCCTATTGAACAGTTAAGAAAGCATTTAACTACCTATGAAACTATGCATAATATACTTCAACATTTCAGGGTTTTTTTTTGAGGAGTCATATGGGTATAACAACATGTGGATATATATTTATGTATATGTTTGTATGTATGTATATATATGCATATTCATATATATTTGTGTGTGTGTCTATCAACTTGATTCACATCGTTGGATATCTAGTAAATTCACGGATGCACAAATACTAGTGAATGGTAGGTCTCTAGCATGATGTGACATGGATTAAGTTTTCTGATTGTCTTGCCTAATGAATTAGTTAGGTGCTCTCTGTTATAGGGCAGCATTGTATTTGTCGCCAGGGAACACAAGCTCTCTTGGCATAATCCTTGTCTCATAGATAATTTAAAATATAAATAGAAAATAATTTGAGGCTAATTTATTGATATTTGAGAAAGAAGATAAAACCAACCTAACTAAATAACTGACAACTAACTAACTAACAAAACAAGTAGGCAATCTGGAGGTATCCATAGCTGGTGTGAGAAGAGATGCAACTGTATGATCAGCTCAGCAGAAGTTTCTGTTTAATGTTTCCATAAACTGTGTCATAGCTGTTGGGACTTCCGATGGACTAATGTCAACTTCAGACTCCAAAATGCTGTACTATGTTATGTACAGTCAGCTTTGAAAAAGCTATAAGCATTTCTGGGGAACTCTTGGGGGAAGATATCAAATGCACGTATAAGGTAGGGTCATAGGAAACTCCTCTAAATGTATTCAACTTTCTCTTCTGTCAAGTTTCTGTGCCTACATTAGTCTCAGGGGAAAATTAGACTTTAGGCCCCTGTTTGTCAAAGTTAGATTTATGATAGTGAGATGTGGTTTTACATCAACAGCATCTTTAGTAGGTTCTAGATACAGATGTCTTTAAGAAAATGGTATCAACCATCCACCACTGGATTTCTGAAGATAAAATTACTGTTTATTTCTCACAGTTGATGTCTCTTATTGTATTGTATTAATCTTGTCTCTTCTGATGCCACCTTCATCTACACCCAGCCATTATGATATTCTCTTAGTCTCTCTGAAACCAAAAATACTGACACTTTAGGGAATCTCCTGGGGTCATTTTCAGTCCCTAGAAGACGTCTACATGGAATATTAAGTGTGCTGTTTCTACTTCATTTTTACTTTAGCCACAGTATTTAGATTGGCTTCATTTACTCTGAGACTTCACAATGCAATGATCAGAAAATGAGTGAGAAGAAAACTGGGTAAAACTCATACAACTTCATAATGGTCAAATTATAGAATTCCAGATTGTACCTTTAATCTAAAATTCTTCACAACAAAATAATCTATGACAAATATTTCTTCTCTTTGGAGCTAACACCTGTGATTCTAACTCTTATTTGAGTATATTTCTAATCGTACATTGTTATTTCCATTAGGACCTATTGCAATGACTTTCTTGAAGATAAAACTCACAAGATTTTGTGCTTTCTTCATATCTATACTCCATTCAGAGTGAATTCTAAATTGATTTTATTGGTCACCCTGGAATCTGTAACTAAGAATCTGAAAGAACCAAAATGTTGACAGCAATTATCAACGGAATGAAGTAAATTATTATAAAGCAGCTGCTTATGTTTTTAAGTCTGAAGGAGTTTTTGTTGGGTGTATGTCCATGTGTGTGCCTTTGTGTGTGTTTACTAAAAGTTGTATCAAGTTTAATCAGATAGGATAATGTGATTTATTTTTCTAGATGTTGTACTTAAAGTGGTTTAGGGCTTTAAACCTTGACAACCTCTGCTGTGTAACAAGTGTGACATTCTTTGAGGCTTTCTGATGGGTGTTCTGATAGAAGAGACAATTAAGGCCCTTGATAAAAATTAGTGTTGCAGGTCAATAAATTCTGTATTCTATTTATTAATGCAACTTTGCTAAAATTACACAAATTAGTTTGAGGATTCTGACAAACGTTTGCTTTTATATTACCTCTTTGAATACAAAGTTGATATTTGAAGCATGTTGTCATTCTGTAAGATTTACAAAATTGTGTAAAGTATGCATGCATGCCATAGACATGATGATCAGTATTGGTTCAACAACTATGAATTTCTGACTCTCACTGATCATCCAATGATTTGAACTTACGACTGGACTTTATGTTTCCCATGTATAGAGGTAAGCTGTGTAAAAATGAGACTTCTCATAAACCATTTCCATTTCCAGCTCAACTTAAGCAAAAATTTATACATTCAATAAGCGTGCAGGAACAGTGCTCAGCATCTTTTTCCTTGGACAGTATCTCTTGTTAATTACTTCGCTTCACAGAATTCTCTCAGGAAACAAAATATATTCCGTGTAGTTTAGATGTAATGACTTTGGTGAAAGGACTGCCCATCGGAGGTGTGAGCAAAGCGAGAGGACGGCATGAGCAGAGCTGAACCGCAGCAGCGGTTAATGTCATAAAGGCAGTGCTGCCACGAGGAAGAAGGCTTACAGCAATCACGAGCTATATCAGACCTCAGGGATAGCAGGATACACAGAAGATGGAGCGGGGGGGGGGGGGGAGGGTGAGAATTGGTATCTTAGAGAACTCAAATCATATCAGACTGAAGGCTCCAAAGTAAATGAAATGAGGAAGACTGTAATTGTCCCTCTGTTCATCCCAGCTATACTCACCTGGCACCTTTTCCTGGCTTACTGTAGTGAAAGCCAGTCAACAAGCCAGCTATGGGACACACTTACTTCATGGACATCTGCTATTGTATGCACAGAACAAAGATGTTCAGAGAAAATATATGAAGTAGATTGAAAAGTAAAGAATAGAGAAGTAATCTAGGCCAGGGTCAATTATTCCTTAGAGCAGCAGTGATTCTGGTGAGAATGGTAAGAATTCACAACATTTTAAGAGATACTGACTGAGGAATGTATAGAAACATTTGTGGCTTGTGTATATGTGCAAACAAAGGCTCTAAATAAGAAATGAGTTTAGTGCAGTTCATAGTGGAAACGAGTGAGGGGAAGAAGTTTAATTTGCACATGATAAATTTGACATAACACTGGGAACCAAAGTAGGGGGACCAAATAAGAGTCTGGAGATGTATGTTTGTGCATAAAACTGTGTATATCTTTTGCTGAGCACAAAAATGGGTATCTATTAATAAGTATAATTAAGTTCCTATGTGTATGGATCTTCTAAGAAAAGCTATGGTGTTTTTAATAACTATACCCTCTTCTGTTTCTACCTAAGACAAATCACAATAGTCCAAAGTGCAGATCTGATAGAATAAACACTACAGTAGCTACAGCTCTTAAAATGAGGCCAACCATAGTGGCTTCTATTTCTTCTGAATACATTTAAGGTTATGTATCACTTGATGGATTCTCTGTAGCATTTAATGGTACTTCATTGAGCATAAAATTGTGAAAAAGGTAGGAAGGAATTAAGCACTGTGAGTAATATCCTTTGTAACGTGCCTTAGAGAAAGGTTAAGGAAATTCAATTTGCCACAGAGGTAAATTTGCTGAAGTCATCATGGAAAATCAGAGAGGCAGGAAAAGAGAGAAAGAAGAATACAGGTGAAAAACGAATAGAATATTAGATAGACATTTTATTTTATAGGATAATTAACATGCGAATTTTTTTTTAAAAAGGGAAAAATATAGAAAGAAAAGGCAAGATTTTCCAGTTTGTATTGGAAATGATTAGATGTATACATAAGAAAACTATGAGCTCTTTAAAAATACTTACGTATTTTACTGGAAAAGAAATAAACTATCCTTGGATGTAGAAATATTTTTAATTCTCTGAGAGGACAGACAATAAAAATAAAAGAAAGGACATGTTTGCAGCAGAATTTTGATATGAACTTACTAGACTCAGTCTAGTATAATGACCAGGGAACCTTTTATTCTAACATTTACCTACCCGGCATTTGTTCTTCCATAAAAATATGGAAATGTGTGCATTGGTATTATTATAGCCATTAGTGTGCAAGTTTTATGCATTATCAAAAGGTAAAAAGAAGAATGTATTATGCATAATGAATAGAATATGGACCATGGTGGAGAGCTGACTTTTACTGGAGGCTGGAGAAACGGAAAGACAAGAAAGTCAGGAACAGATGCGCATTGAAATGGAGATTTTCATTTCAGAGCTAAACCCAGAACTAAAGAGAATATCTACTGAAGCCAAGGCTTATGGATTATTTGTGTTTTTATGTGGACATAGGCATTGTCATGGTGACAGTGGCAGCACAGATGTGGTGGGATGTACTGTCTAAGTACTGAGGTGTCTTATCCTGGGCTCCATCAAGTCTACTGTTAAAGTAACAGAAAGCCAAAGTATGATGTGCATATGAGTTATAGAATATGTGGTTGCTAGCCATAGCACATCCTGACTCATATAGACCATAAAAACCATTCATGGGTCAATTGAGTTACTTATTGTAGAGTCCAGAATTCCAGGTGACTTCGATCTTTGGCCCACACTCAATAAACCAAAATTCAGTTAAAAGAAGTCTTTCTTGTTGTTGCTTTTCATGGTGTTAGCTTTACTCAAGAGCTTCCATACATTATGAAGCTACTACATGCTTAGAAATAGTGAACCACAAGACAATAAAGCCAGGACATGGAGGATTCCTCTAAAACCACTCAGCAGCTGCTCTCTGGATGGGAAAGATTCCACTAAAGGGTTGTGTGACATACAGCGTAAACTTTTTAAATGAGATTCTCTAAGGA